ACGAAAAGACTTTATTTTAATGTATTTTTGCCAGGGTAAACAAATACCACTAAGCGATAATCTTAACATGAAGTTGAACTACCAGTTCTATAGGTTCTATAATAATAATAATAATTTAAGAAGTTGGACATGCGCAACTTCATCTTTGGAGTTAATTTTTTATATAATAATAATAAATGCAATAGTTAAGTTCTAATTTCCAAGCTTTAAATATTAAATACATAATTTGTTTATAGAAAAATATTAACTTCAAATTTTTGCTTTTTAAATGAATTTGCAGAACAGAACCTGATTATTAATATATTATTAATTTATTAATAATTTATAATATTAATTTTTTTTTACATTGAAATATAATATATATATCACTGGATGAAATAATTTATATCTAGAGGTTGTACCCATTGAATATTCATTCATTTTATATTCATTCAATCAATTAAATTTAGTATTCAGATAATCATTCAGTGAATGATTATTCATTGTTAATCATTTTACATTCTATCAAAATTATCAATATTTTTTTTTAAAAAACAATCCTTTCAAATAAAAGTACGTACTACAACATTACAATGAACAATAATATCAGAAAATTCAGAGGTATTAACTCGACAAATAACTCCTTTAGATTTTTCTCCATCCTTTACAATTTCAGTTTCTTCCATTAAGTTCCATATCCAACTTGACTTCTTTTTACCTTTCTTTTCTTCAAAATATGAGCACTAGAAGACTCCTCCCTTCTCATTATTGTATTATTACTTTCTCCTATTATAGTGAGTGAAGGCTCTTCTTCGATTTTAAATTTAATTAATTAGATGAATTTATTTGACGCGAGAAAATTTTATTTTGATGATCTGATTCAATTTTTTCAAAATAAAATTATTTTTCGGTTGAATTTCTCTATTTCTTGATATGTATTGTTATCAAGTGATTTTTTGATATATATCATTGTTGCATCAAATGCAAGACGATATGAGTCTTTATATAATGATTGAGATTACTGGTTTATTAGGTGATGTGATCAAAGATTCTGTCATTGTTTCCATTCCATGTTTACTGGAGTTAGTGAAACCTTGTCAAAAAATTATAATATAACAAATAGAATGAATAAAATAATATATCACACATGATAACAACAAATGCGGACCTAAATTCTAACCTCATAACAAGTTCTTTTTTCTCTTCCTGTGATTATATTTTCTTCGCTATTTCTTTTATTTAATAAAAGAAATAGATTGAATGTAAGTTTAAGTTTGAATTTTTTTTTGTGCTAATATTTTATTATTACTGTTTATTTACAATAATATTATTATCAAATTGATTAATATTTTTTTTCAGTATAAAAAAGTTTTGGTAATGTCTCAAATCAAAGCTAAATTAATCTATGAACAAAAAAAAAAATCAAAGAACTGCAAAATTTTTTTGATCATTATCATTCCGAGAATACTTTACCATTTGATGATTACAATGATGATTGTTATGATGATTGTTATGACCTTGAAGATTAATCAATTGGTAGAAATGTTGATATCAAGTTGGGTTGAAATGACAGATGAAGAATTTGATATATTTGAAGATAATAATAATAATTCAAATATTTTACAGAAAACACTTCCAGCAGTAATATAATAAATTTTGATTTTTATTTGAATTGTTTGTCATGTGATATAATTTTATTGGAACCAGTTATTTAACCGACATTGCCAACACTGAAATAAACATATTTTTCAAGATTCAGTGAACTTAAAAATGTAAATTTTTTTATGTCAACTATCTCATTTTCATAATAATTATTGTAATTAATTAATTACGAAATTAATTTCATAATCAATTTTGTGATTATTACGTATTAGGTTTTTGGCAAAACAATTGCCATTGCATAAGTTATAGTAATAGAAAGAACAGCAGAAATGGAGGCAGTAGCAATAGCTACAACAAATGAAACAATGATTTAGTTGATGATTGGTTTTTTATGATGTCCTCGGGAAGCAAAGTATAATTGTAAATAAATTCGTAAAATAAATTAATTGATGAGTGTAGCTAAAAAGTTAACTCAAACTCGGCCATAAAATGTAAAATAATCAATATTGGCCAAAAAGCTACCTTCACAATATGTAGTTCACTATTGAGTTAGTCTTAAACAATCCTTAACTGGTCGCAAAGACCGCATATAAAGACCGGTATTTTGGGACCGGACCAACACAACCCTACTTTAAAGTTGCAAAAACACCTCAAATGCAATTCTTTTTTGTCAGTTCTTGTCAACTTTATATTTCACCTTCTTTTAATTATTTTATTAATAGAATTTAATCAATTAATAAATAATATTCATAATTTTATTGGCCATTTTATATATGACTTTGCAAGTAGCAATCAAGGGTGCAAGGGTAATAGAACTAGCTCTTGGTGTGAAATATCTTTCTCTACCGGCTCATTGAGAAGATATTTTATTCCAAGCATGAAAAGTTTTTTTTTGTTCTCAAAGTGTCGATAATTATCTTTTTGCAAGAAAATTTTTGGATGTCTATCGAAATAGATGCTCCCGAAAATTTTTAATTAGGTAAGCAGGTAGTAGCCGAAGAATGGGGTTTCAATTACTAAAATAAAAAAATTTTCAAAAATCTCCACTGTTGACGAACGAAAATATTGACACTTCTTTGGTTTCGCTCAATAAGCAAATACATTCCTTCTATTAGAGAAAGAAGTTTTTTTTTGCTAATTTTAACTGTCAGAATTTGAATAGTTGGATATCTTCATTCATGTGCGATCTTTTATATATAAAAATAAGAGATTATTATTATATAGAAAAATTTTAAGACACTATTAGACAAATGAATCGGACAAAAGAAATCTCTTTACAAAGATGATAAAGATTTGCTAACAAGCTTTTTTGAAACAAGGATCAATTCAACCAGGTGTGTGAACGGAAAGTAGATAAGCAGTAGTTTAATTAGCATATTAATATTAAATTCATTATGTAAAAAGAAATGGAAGATGCAGCAGTTATTATTACGAGCTTTCAAATCAAAAGATGATTTTGTTGGCTTGGTCAACGAATGTTTTTTATTTGGATATTGGCAAGAAATTGTCAGATTTTGACCACGGAATACTCAAAAAGTTACTCTACAAGTAAAATACAACACAATTACATGTATTTTAAACACAGGTCAAGGATTAATCGAGTTTTTTAAATTCGAATTACGATTCGAATTATGATTCGATTCGACCCAATTCATTTAGAGATCCTTAATATTACTGTGTTAATGTTAAATATAATTACACATGGATCATGTAAGGACATAAGATAAAAAGAGCCAACATTTAATTAATAAACATCTCAATCACATGAATCTTGTAAGATCGTAAATTAATTATAAAATATCTCGATCATGTAAGAACATAAGATAAAAATAGGTAAGAAAGATAACCACGCATGGATCATGTAAAATCGTAAGATAAAATTTGTTAAGAAAGATTAATAAGATCAATCATAAGATTGAGAAACAATTAATTAATATTAATAAAACATCACGATCACATGACATGAATCATGTAATATTGTGTTTGGTTGCATTTATTATAAATATGTATAGATTTGAAAAATAACAGTTTTGATTGACATAATTTTGTTAAAATTTGATTTCATGACTACAAAATGTCACATTTATTATTATCATCAAAGTTAGAGAATAATCAAAAACTAATGAAAAATATAATTAATTACATATGTACCTCACAAATTATCCTATCGTAACACTTCAGGGTAAACAAATATTTCGTTCCAATGGTTCAGCTTCTTGTCCATCTCCAATCATAATAACTGCAACTTCTGATGTTGTTGGAGTATTGTAACGTCTAGAATCTTGTTTTCTACTATCTATGATTGCCATTCGCAAGTCCAAGGATGGATTTAATCTTACAATGTCTCCAGCTTGTTTGAACATTTCACAATATGGGTTCACATCATGTAACATTTGCTGAAGCTCCTCAAGAATAACTGGATCAAGATTAGGCATTACATTCATTCTGTTTTGCAATTCATGCTCAGTATCATACACATATATAGTGTTCCATGTCGCAATCCAAAAAAGGAAACAAAATGGTTGTAAAGGTGGTTGCAACCAGTGGTTGCAATTGTTTTTATATGACGCAAAGATGGTAGCAACCATCATCAAAAGTTGCAGCCGGTATCCTTACACATATATTTGAGCAAACTGAGGGTGAGCTTCATTGTCAGGAAGTATTGTGCCTATGCCATGATATATTTTACCATGAACACGAAAGCTGTAAATGCCACTTGTTCCTGTTATGCTATGATCAACCTTTGCACCCATAGATGTAAAAGCCAAAGCTGAATTATACGACCTAATATTTTTCCTAAATGAACGTGCACTTGGATCTGTTCTAGTAAGAAGAATGTTGAGAGGATATGGTAATTCCTCAATAGGAGGAAGAAAAACCTTGCCTTTGGCACAACATGTTGTGAAAACTGGTGATCGTGTGGATGTGCCTGTTCTTTCATCTATCCACAACAGCGCCCCACAACAATTACATCTATGATTCATGCTTCCCAGAGAGTGACGGTCTAAACCTTGCGAAGACCATGGATAAATACGTGCTTTTAATGTTTTTAGCGGAACAGTAGTCAGATGAATAACTACTTCTTGTTCAGCGCGGATAGTCACGTTATCTTCCGATATGAGTCTTCAGAATCCATATTTCTTTTGTTTTTATGATAATAACGTTGTTGTCGTTCACGATTAAGTCTTCGTTGACGTTCTTCAGAAGTTTCATCTATAGCGTTACTAACTTCATCTTGTATACGTATCCTCTTCTCTCCTGAGTGGTCAAGTCCCGTATTTCTTTTGTTTTTACGATAACGCTGTTGTCGTTCACGATTAAGTCTTCGTCGACGTTCTTCGGAAGTCTCATTTATAGTGTTACTTCTATCCATAGTATTATTTTATTTTCCCGTGTGTTATTTTTAGTTATTTTTAGTAATGGGTAAAAGTATGCAAACGCGTAATTTATTGTTTAAAAAAAAAAAAGTATGCAAACGTGTAATACGTATACTGTGTGAAATTTTATTGTGGAAATTTTATTGTATCACAATTTAAAAATCATTTACATGTGGTACGTAGTCTAAAAGTTACGCATCACAACATATTTATTTACGTGCTTGTGGTAGTCTAAACGTAATCCAACAATACAATAATAGATAGATTGCATGCGATAGTCTAAGACACTACACCTCACAACATATTTATTTGCGTGCTTGTGGTAACCCATCGATACAATAATAGGTAGATTGTGACACAAGTTTGCGTTGTTGAACAATTCTATTTATACGTGGCTGCCTAAAAGTTACGTTTATTTCACGCACAAACAGGACCACAAAATATAAACAACCATTTTAATAAATAAAAATAGAAATAATACAATGAATGAAGTACCGTTAAATTATTTATAATGAACACATTAAATTTTAGAACAATTCCAGTATTAATATCAACTCTCGCATACTACTATAATTATGAAGCTTCCCATTTTTTTGATAGTTTTTTTCCTTCTTATACAAATTATTTACATTCATGTTGTAATTTCTGGCATAATAAAAGCAGGACCTGCAACATTACCTGTCCTAAAAGATGCTTATTATGTATGTTTAAAAACTATTCCTAATAATAATAATAGTAATAATAATAACAATTCTAATATAATAATTGCCGAACACAAAGAATTTTTTAAAGAATTAAATCAAAAAGGTATAAATTTCACTGTTCGTCATGAATTCTTTGATTATGTTAACGGCATATCGTTGACATTGCCTGGTGGACTTGATAGCTTGAAAAAGGTTGCCGATATATCAGTTGTATCATATATTGAACCTGTAGTATGTATTTATATATATTATCTTGTATTGTATGTATGCATATATGTGTATAGTTAAGATTTTTTAATGTGAAAAAATTTGCATAGAATCTTAATCTAACACCCGCGCCTGGTTATGTTGATGATGATGAACTTGAAAAACGTGATTACATTACCAATGACACAATCCAATTTGCTCCTAATAATAATATAAATGAGATACATAAAGTCACTGGTGTTGATCGTGTACAAAATGAGTTTTTGAGTTTTGGAACTGGGATTAAAGTTGGAATTGTTGATTCAGGTAAAAAAAAAAAAAAAAATTTTTATTTTTTAAAAAAAAAAATAATTAATAATTATGATTTTGTTTAGGAATTGATTACAGGCATCCAGCACTTGGCGGCTGTTTTGGAACAGGATGTAGAGTGGCATATGGACATAATTTTGTTTTAGATTTAACCAACCTTAATGCTAGTGATCCACTTGATATTTGTAATGGTCATGGTACACATGTTGCTGGTTTGATAGGTGCTAATGACAGTCTAGTAACTGGATTTATGGGAGTTGCTCCTAATGTCACTTTTGGTGTTTATAGAGCCTTGAATTGTGTGGGTTCAGGGAGTGCTGACAATATAATGGCTGCATTAGAAGCAGCTGCAACTGATCAAATGGACATAATAAATTTATCTTTAGTAAGTTTACTTGTTTATCTTATAAATAAATGTAAATATTTATTGATTTTGTCATTTAACAAATTATTTGCTTATTATTAGGGAGGTGAAGGATGGGCAGAAACTTCAATGTCTGTTTTGGCAGATTCAATTGCAAATCGAGGAATCAATGTTATAGCTGCCAATGGTAATGAAGGAATTCGTGGTATCTGGGATTCTGGTATACCTGCAATTGGTTATGGCACCATTTCTGTTGCATCAATGGATGCTAAAAATTTTCTCGTTTACCGGGCAACTGATATTAAAGATTCTTCATTTATAATTGGTAAAAAAATTATGTTTTAAATAATATGATTTGAAAATGATATTATACTAATTCATGTGTTGTTTCTTTAATATAGATTATATTTCAAGTAGTGCTAGACCTTTTAATATTAATCAAGGAGAAACAGTAATCTTTGATAGTTCAAACAATTGTAAAGATGTCCCTGCTCAAACTTTAGCAGGAAAAGTAGTAATTCTAAATATTTATGCTGCAAAAATTAATCAATGTATTATATCACAACTGGTAATTAATTTCAAAATCAAAAATTTTTTTCTATAGCAAGAAATCAATTATTATTTATTAATTATTTAATATTTAATTTTGATTATTAAAAAAAAAAAATAGTATACAGATCTACAAATAGCTAAAGTTGTGGGTGCTCTTGTTATTAATAATCTAACTACAGGACCTGCCTTAGCTAGTCCACGTCAAGATGATGTTAAATATCCAGTTGCATATATTATATCAACTGAAGCTCAACTATTGTTAGACAGAGCAGTGACTAATAAACCATTGACTTTAGATTTTTCTGATAAAAAAGGTTATATTATAGAAAATAGTTTTGGTTCAGTAATTTCATATTTTAGTTCTTGGGGATTAACTCCTACTCTAGATATTAAGGTAAATATTGATAAATTTTAATTAATAATAAAATTTATATATATATAATTTACTAATATTACATATATATTTATGTATATGTTTATGTTTCTTTAATTAGCCAGTGAGTAAAATTTTAATTAAATTTTTTATTTTTTATTTTTAAAAAAAAAAAGTTTTTTAAAAAAAATATATTTATCATTTTTATTTTAATGAAATAGGAAATTGTTGCACCTGGTGGAGTAATGTTTTCTACATATCCTTTACCTCTTGGTAGTTATTCTTTAAATTCAGGAACAAGCATGGTAATTAAAACCTTTAAATATTTAATCGTCACCAATCAAATTTTAAAACCTCTAAACTTGTAAAATTTCTAAAATAAAACAGGCAACACCATATATAGCAGGATGTGTTGCATTATATTTATCAGCAACTGGTATAAAACAACCAACTTTAGATGTGAGAAATGCATTCATGAATTATGCTAGACCACTCAAATTTCCATCCGGAACTGTTGTCTCACCAGTTTTACAACAAGGCACAGGATTAGTCAATGTGTTTGATACAATATTAGGTAAAATATTGATATCACCATCAAAATTAACATTGAATGATACATTAAATGGAATTAGTAATAAGGAATTGAATTATATTGAAAAGAATTTAACTGTCAAAGGTTTAAGTGAGTATCAGGAAGTGTCATTTATAGTGATACATGAACCTTCTTACAGTTTAAATGGTTATAATGGCACAACAATATTGGAGAGTAAAGATTTGATTTACAGTAATGTGGTTGCTGATATTATAATTGAACCTAATATTTTCACAATTACAAATCAAACCAACCTCAATATCAATCTAAAAATTACGCCACCAACCATTCAAGATGCAGGTTTTTGGTTTTATAATGGTTTTATTAAATTTGTACCAAATATTACCAACTATAGCAACATCACGATTCCATATGGTAAATATATTTTATTATTATTATTATTATTATTACTTTAAAAATAAAAATTTAATTTGATTAAATAAACAATAAAAAACCGTTTTTCTAGCTGGTTTAGCAAGTCCAGCAAAAGATCTACCAATATTTCAAAGTCCTGAATTTCCTCAGATTCTAACTCCACAAGATGCAACATTAACACCAAACCATACATTTTCAATGACATTTGAAAATCATCCTGTATTAAGGACAGTATTTTCAACACCTAGTGCACTATGTTATGTAATTATATTTAGTTCAATAACAAACCAACCTTTAGGCATATTGACAAACAACGACAATACTTTTATTATAAGTGGTGAAAATAGATTTGTTGCAAAAACAAGAAAAATTCCATTATTTAGAAATTGGGCAGGTGATTATATAGAAGGAAGTTTTAGTGATAATGGAGAATTTGTTCCATCAACCACTGTTAGTAATGGTAAACAATTACCAAATGGTGATTATTATATACAATTTAGAGCTTTAAAATTATTCGGAGATACTAATGTTGGGGGTGATTGGGAGTACTGGAATTCTACTTATTTTAAAATTGAAAGAACCCTCTTCTGATTTTTTTTTTTTTTTTTAACATTCAATATTGTAATTTAATAATCGGGGAATACTCTAAACAAAATCAAACATTATAAAGATTCCAGCAAAATTTAGTTATCACCAATATAAATTTAAAAACTTTTATTATGAAAATGTAATTGATAATTCAACTAGAATAAAATTAAATTCATTAAATAATTTTTTTTATTAAAGGTCAAAAAATCGATTTCATTTTTGTAACGGAAATGTCAAATGCGGAATAATTTACTTCTACTTCTAAGGATTGTAATGTAGAATAGTTGGCAGTTTTTAAATCAAATATTTTAGTAAATATACCTTTCCAATAGGATTATATTCGAATAGTAACTATTTGTTTTATTCGTTATGAATTGAGTATTCGAATTACATCGAGTGTTATTCGAATGAAGTGAATAAAGCGAATAAGACGAATAAAGCGAATAAAAATTTAGAAAATCTGCTTTCCCGAAACAAGCACCTTGATCCGTACAATAGTCATCAATTTTTTCCTTATTCGTATTAATTGCATAGTTACGAAGTGTGGAGCATCTTGACTTCAACATCGTAAATAATAACTATTAAATTAAACTATGTGATGTGATTTTTTTAATTTCCTTCTATGAATAGAAGAAAATCACACAAAGATCCCTCTAATAAAGTAACGAACTTGGATTCCTTATTTTGGCCAACTTGCTTAACAAGAGCTGGTGCCATGATGTGCTTTTTGACTATATAAAGTTTTTGTAGCATGTCTTGTAAGTTTATCTCTATTTCCAATAAAAGAATGATAGGACTAGAGAAGAAAGAAATCAATCTCGTAGCCCAATTTCAGGGGAAACAGGTCATGCGATTGTTATTATAGATGATAAGGTTATAGAAAAATAAACAGCAACAGTAATTCCTAGTTCTCAGTAAATTTTGACTGAAGAATGTCAATCGTCAGTTGCCCAAAACTTGATACCGACATTGTTGATCAGCGCTTTGCACCTTTGCAGTAATAGCAAGAAGCATAATAATAAGATATTATTGTTATTGTTATTTAGTTCTATGGTGGTCATTTTAATACCCTAATACCTTTATCATGTTGCTTGGTAAATTGCAAATTAAATTCTTTATAAAGTTATCGATGATTGCATTGTGCAATATCTATTACGCATTATGCAACATTAATTTTCAATGCCGTTTATTTGCATAAAGTCTTTTATTACCACTTTTTTGATGTCAAAAAAGAGGGACGTTGTTCAATGCTAATTGACGCCTCTAAAAATTTCCTGATGACATATTTTTCAGAAGTTGATAGTGATCAAATTATTTTAGATGTCGTTGAACAACCCATCTACATCCGATGAAAATATGGAAGGTGATGAAGAGCTAAATTGGATTTGGTTAATTAATAAATAATATGTATATTAATTCTTATTATAAAAAATTATGATATTTGAATCAATAAAGACTGCAGTCTTGGACTGAACCATTGGTTCGTTTTCAGATTGTTTTTAAAACTGACAGTTTGGTCCATATTGATATGGACCGGACCAGGCTGGATCATTTAACATCTCTTCCATCATCAAAACCTGCCTGATCACATGAAATAACCTACGTATTTTTCAAAATTTTGTAACTACAAATTCTACAAATTAAGTTTATCAGGAAAATTTTTTTTATTTTGATTTAAACAATAAGTTTGAAGGACCATATATCCGACTCACCAATAACATCATGTCCATTATCTCATTTTTTAAATGTTTCCGGAGGATTAGCTTTATATAGGTCATTATCATGATGATTTATAAAAATATTGTAAACACGAATTTTATTATTGATTCTTTGTCTTGAAATTTAATCTTTGATGCTTTCTCTTCGAAAGGCAAAAATCTTGAAGATGATTCAGCAAATGAAGGCATCTGCCTATCGCCTATCCGAATTGCAGAAAATGGCGAGTCCGTGAAGTTTTTACATGACATTATTAAATTTATAGTTGTCCCGCAATATTTATTAGTCTTTCAGATCTTGTAAACAAGTTGAAATTCATTATTACCTTGGAAGCTTGTGTTTTATATTTGTTTAATATTAATATTAACTGTTATTAAATAATAAACATTTTAACACCTACCGTTCTTTTATATACTTCTAATCATCACATGTGATACTTCGCTGCCTTATAAAAAAATTATTGTTTTGTTTTTTTATTGCGCATATTTGTGCTGAATTAGTTCCATCCAGCTAATAATACGATATTGCATTCACTATGTTTACATGTTTAGAAAATGTTTCAGTGACAACAAATAGTAATTTTATTTTGTAAATATGTTAAAAGAAACATATATTAAGATGTAAAACGTGGATTTTTTTTGTACACAAATAACACAGAGAGCAATTATTTTCGAAATACACTGTATATGCATTTGGAGGGAAAAAATCATAATTCTTATTATAAATACTAAAAAATTTATTTGTTTTTTTCTTCTTTAAATAATTATTTTTATTTCTCCGAGAATCATCTTTAAGCATGCCAAACTCTTTTTACGATTTCAGTCATTCCCACATCAAGTGTATTAATCATGTAACAACCACTAAGCACCAACAATGTAGCACCTTTTAATCCCCACGTAGATACTTTGTTAAGTTTTGGTGATCTATGAGCTGGCAAATAATCTGTAATAATTGTATCAAATCCAATATGACAATGAATTGGTAAGATTATTCCTAGACAAAGATCTGTAATCGGATGTGCTCCATTTATAACTGAAGTGATTGTTAATGGAACTAATGATATCGAAAAAAATCTTTCAAAATTCCAGTGAAATGATCCAGATGCTTTATTCTTTGTTGGTAAAATTACTGCATCATTGATAGATACATTAATATAACCTATATACATATATATTAATCGAGGATAATAGTAATGATATTATTATGTAAATTAAGGTCTAAAATAAACTTACTGGCCCCATCTTTAGCAGATTTGGAATTTTGAAATAAATGGGTATGTCCTAAATAATAGAAATTATCATTGATGAAATTTGATGAAATTTGGTTTTAATCTTTTAATCTATTATAAGAATCAATTAAATGCATTACTTATTACCTGAATGAAAGGCAACAACTCTAACAGGGGATGATAACACTTGAAAAGAATATTTAGAACGAAAGGATTTAGGGGTCGTATGATTAATAAATCTAAAAGTCGTCACTGAATTTTTAAAAAAAGTGTTGACGTTTGTGACACTATTGCTTGTACAGTAACTTTTGCCTCAATTCCCTTTGTTACAACCATCTTTGAATTAAGGTGTTACTGTCTTTACAAGTTCAAAAAATAATAAAATCATATTATTCATTTTTTTAATTTTAGGATAAGTAATTATTAAATTTTTTTGGATATAATAAAGAAGAAATAAGCTAAAACATTATTATTATCAACAAAGTTCAAATTCTTAGCAAATGTATAACAAAGTTAGCGAATGTACAAGTTAAACTTGCGGAATGACTTTTTAAAATTGCCGCGTATATTGGAAATTCCGCAGCAGTCTATATTTTTATTTTTTTTTGTATCACAAATTTTTTTTTTTTTTTTTTTTTTTTTTGAATTAAAAAAAAAAAGATGAATCGCATAAACGTAAGTAACCATAAAAACCAAAAAAACCAAAACAGAAGGCTAAATATAAAACATGAGTAAGTATCATCATAACTGTTATTTCGTTTAATTCAAGCTTTAGTTTAATTTATAAATTCACAAATTCAAAAATTTTATCTTCTTTCAAGCAATCCACAATTAGAAAACGTAAATTCATTACTTAACAACCTTATTAGCTCCAACAAGGATGCCTTACCACTAAAATATATTAGCAAACTTGTAAATTATTTAACAAATTTGTTAAATGAAGCTGATTTTTGTGATGTAAAAATCAAAGTTGGAGAAGACTCAAATGTGAAAGTTTTTAAAGCTCGTTCTGCCATTTTAAAAACAAGATCTTTGTATTTTAAAACTGTTCTGTCAAATAATTGGATTAAAAAATTTGGTGGTGGTGTTATTTCATTTGAGAAAAAAATCATTTCTTCAAATGTATTCAAAGTCATTTTAACGTAAGAATTATATTTATTTATTTATTCGTTCATTCACCTAATTTTAATTTTATTGATAATAATTTTTTGTAAAATTTTATAATTTTGTTTTTTAAAGATATATTTACAATGGAATATCGAATCTAAATAATTTGAACCCAAATGAAATTCTTGAACTTCTTGAAGCATGTGATGAATTAAATTTTAATGAATTAATCGAGGATATACAAAACTATTTAATGGTTGAAGGAAATGAACGGATCAAGCAAAATTTAATTTATGTTTATACATTTTCATCACAACATCAATTATCGTTTAGTAGTATGCTTCAAAATAATTGTAACGAATTAATTTGTGGAAACCCTGAATTGGTTTTTTTCAATTCTGATGATGATGGTGGTTATAAGGCAATTGAAAAATCAACAATGTTGTTTGTGGTAAAAAGTGATTATTTCAAAGTTGAAAAAGAAATTGGTGCCTGGGATCATGCTATTCAATGGGGAATTGGACAAATAGAAAATTTGGAAGAAGCAAAAAAGGAGGGAAAAAAAGAAAAATCCATTGAGTTGGGCCGGTATTCACCAGTAAATAAAAAACCAAAATTAGTCAAACTGGAAGAAAGTATTTCAGAATGGAATGAAGATAGTGTAATTGAATTGAAAACAAATTTGGAGGAGATTATTCCACTAATCAGGTTTAATATAATTCCTTCACACGATTTCAATGAAAAAATCAAACCTTATAAAGAAATTATTGATAAGGAAGTTTATGAAGAACTAATTCAATACTATCATCACAATGATGAATGGAAACCAAAGTTATTAATTCAAAAAAGTCCAAGAATTGGAAAATTATTGAACTTAAAAATAAGTTCATTAATTTCTAATTGGATTGATGAAAAACAACAATTTAAATTTGAACTAGTTCTTGGTATTTCT